CATCGAGTCGGCCCCGACTCATAGTGACCCCTCCTTGGGTTTCCAAGGCAGTATCGCTATGGAAGTAGGATTGCCAACCTTCCTTCCGAGGAGTGGCTGGTGCTAAGCATACACAGTTAAATATATAAAGATTTTTATTTTTATAAATTGCTAACTCCTTAGCATAAACCAAATAGTAGCACTAAACTGTACTTCAGTATTTATTTTTCACTTCATTTACTCAAGGGTGAAAAAGCTAGTCTCACTTAATTTCCTCAGTGAAGCAGTACAAAATAATAATTTTATAAAATCTTGACCCATAAGTTTCCTAATTTATATTCTATATGCTCTATAAGCCACCACTCATCTGTCAGTTTGTCATACTGTGGTGGCTTGTGTGTTGCTGTGAGGCCAGAGGCTATGCCACCACTATTTCAAATACTGGCAGAGTCACCCATTGTGTACAGGTTTCAGTGGGGCTTCCAGACTAAGACAGACTCAGAAGAAGGAAGGGGCCATCCACTTCTCAAAGAATTAGCCAGAGAAAAACTCATAAATAGCAGTGAAACACTGTCTCATATACTACTGTAAACTTTATGAAAAGCCCTGAAACACTGTCCCATACATACAGTGCAGGAAGATGAGACTCTGAGGGTGGAAGGCACTCAAAATAAGAATGGGGAAGAGCTGCCTCCTCAGAGCAGAGCCAAGCTTAATGATGCGGATGGAGTAAAGCTTTCAGGACCTCCATTTGCTGATGTGGCATGACTCAAATTGAAGAGAAACAGCTGCAAACATCCATTAATAATCAGAATATGGAAAGGACAAAGTATCAATCTAGGAAAATTGGAAGTTGTCAAAAATGAAATGGAATGCATAAACAGCGATATCCTAGGCATTAGTGAGCTGAAATGGACTGGTTTTGGCCATTCTGAATCAGACAACCACATGATCTACTATGCTGGGAATGAAAAATTGAAGAGGAATGGCGTGGCATTCATCATCACAAAGAATGTTTCAAAATCTATCCTGAAATACAATGCCTGCAGTGACAGGATAATATCCATACGCCTACAAGGAAAACCAGTTAATAAGACTATTATTCAAATTTACGCACCAACTACCAAAACCGAAGATGAGGAAATTGAAGATTTTTACCAACTTATGTAGTCTGAAATTGACCAAACATGCAATCAAGATGTG